TATATATATATATATATATATATTATATATTAAGGAGGAGCAGCCTCTCCCACCAGCAGTGAATTGTGTCCTCCCCACGGAAAGGGTTGTCAAAGGGTTGTCTCTGAAGATCGAAAACAGGCGGAGGCAGCCGGAGGCGTCGAGCGACAAAAAGCAAAAGTCGAGGCGCCCAGTGTTGAGCGACAAAACCCGAGACCGCTGTTCATACAGCCGCTGCAGCAAACAACCGCAGAGGGGGCAATAGCATTAGGAGCAGAAGCTAAAACGCAAACTGTCCCAAGACAGTTCGTGACGCGAACTCGGGCGATATCTTTGCTCTAAAGCGAACGGGAAGCGTAAGCTGCAAGCGAGTAACAGAAACGCTCATAGTACAGCCATTGCAGGTGTTATAGAAGGCATATTGCCGTGATTCCTTGCGTCATGATTGAGACAAGTCCATTCACCCCCGGAGCAGGTAAGAGATTTATACAAATAGTAGTCAAATCGTAGAGAGAAACAGGCAATGCATAACAAGTATATGCTGAGAATGCCAACAAATGCGTATGATCATAACAATAAAAGCACAATCATATTAGGCCACCCCACTAGCGACAACTGAAGCAAGAAGGGCAGCACACTGGACCTACTGCTTCATCTGTACTACTGCTGCATTCGAGGCATAATAAACCCGTTAAATAGACAAATATGGGGCAAGGACATCAAGATACGCGTATTAGATACTGACGAAAGGTTTCTCAACAGAAGGTTCCGGAGGTTTCGTCGCCCCTGCTGCGGCTGCGGCCTCTTCAGCATATAGTCCATTGCGCTGTTGCTGCTGCCGCTGTTGCTGCAGAAGCAATGAACAAAACCTGAAAAACGCGTCGGCCACGCGAAAGGCCAACAGGGTGCGTTCGAACAAAAAGAACGGATGATGCACTTCCGGCTGCTGCGGCAGCTGTGTGTCCGGGCTGCGGCTCGTGCTTGGATATTCTCCCGGCGCCTCGTTGGCGTCAAGTGCATGCAGTACCAGTTCACCTTCTGCTGCAGCAGCGCTGCTGCCTGCCTTAGAGCTCTCTGAATGGTGTCCATCCGATCCTGCTGCTGCTGCTGCAGTTGTTGCTGCTGGAGCACCAAGGACCGAGCTTTGGCCTGCGTTTTTGACAGCTCCGACGCCGCCAATCAAGCGGCGGAAAAGATTGGAGCCAAGACGCTTTGATTTGCTTTTCTCTTTGGGTTTCAGAGCAGCGTTGTTCTGCAAGCACCGCAGAAACAGAAGAGGCAGTGATCGCAGCGGCGAGTCCTCTGCTCCTCCGCCCGCTGCATCGGCTGCTGTTTGGCCCTCGGCGCGCTGCGAATCCCAACCCTCAGGAGAAGAAGACAGTCCGCCGTGCCTCCTCAACAATCGGGAGGTCGATCCCGAGCCAGAAGCTGCTGCGGAATGTTGCTGCGGCTGCGAGTCTGTGCCCCTATAATTCTCGCACGTGCCAGCGCAGCAGCTGAAAGCTGCTGCTGCTGCGTCGGCTGCTGCTGCCGATTTGTTGCTGCAGAGCCCCAGGGCTCGTGCTCGGGAGGCGTAGTACTTGAAGAAAGACAAACGCAAGTCAAAAACAGATATGGCTTTGTCGCCAGCAACAATCAAAAAGAAGCGAGAAGAAAAACAGGCTTGCTGCAGACGTCGAGGCGCTGCCTGCCGATGAACCAGATATTCCTCCATGTAACTGCGACGAGCAGCACACCAACTGCAGCAGCAGCAGCAACAACAACAGATACAGCAACACGAGAACGTCCACGTGAGATCGACTCCGAGTTCCTACTGCCCTTGCCTTACTGAGAGTTTGTGATGGTTGGGGCCTAGGACTTCTAAATATCACGCACCCATGGCTCTCCTCAACCAATCTAGAGGCACCCCGCGCATCAACAACCAGCAACCAGCGCGTATCTGATGCTGCATCGCTACTGCAGCAGCTGCAGCAGTCACACGCCGCAGCAGCAGAACAAGGACCGTCTCTAGCAGCACGCACGCTGCCAGGGTTTGTCTGTTGGTTGGAACTAGCTGAGTCTATGCATGAAGGGTGTTGCCTGGGGGGCACCCCGCAGCTCAAATGGAAGAGCAGCGTACAGGACAAAGTCACCGTTGAAGTCCAATGCCGTCAGATTTGCGGCTTCCACACTTCGCCACAATCTGCAAAAATACTGTGCCTCGTACCGTTCATACATGGTGCCTTCCCCTGCAAACCAGCAACGGTCAGGCAACACCCGCAACAACGCAACAACGCAGAAACACAGCAACATAACTAGAACCCCGAGGCAAAGGTTCGCGCGTACTGCATGCAGGAAAGTGGCAGCTAAGAGAGCTGTGCTATGCGTACAAAAACCCCTAAGGGGCATCTGATGCATACGTGGGTCGATGCACGCAGATCTTACTCAGATCCATTATACAGGCGGCGCCTGTGCCGAGGAGACAGGCGCTGTGCGTGGGAGTGAACTGCAGCTGCAGCTGCTGCTGCTGCTTGTCGAGCGTGCATACTCCTGCTGCCAGTGCGCAGGCCCATGCCTTCTGTAATTTTCTTCTTTCTTCGCTCAGAGGCACGGGAGGCGTCGCTGAGGCATCTTGCGAGTTCGGCTGCTGCAGCTTGAACAGAATCATTGCAGCCAGGTCACTGCTGCAGTGTCTGTATAGCAGGCGAAGCTGCCCCGACTCGCGGCATCGCCGCAGCAGCCGCATGTTCATTGTCACAGAGTTGAAGGCGCTGCGGGTAGCAAACAACGATAGCTGTTCGCTTCCCATACAGCGCAGCGACGGCAGCTTCCACTGCACTAGCTGCACCCACACACGCACACACAAGCCTCAGCCTTCAAGCGTAAATCCTCTTGGCCACTCCCTGCTTCAACCTCCAAAGTATGCCGGGCGCGCCTGTCCACACAGCCGCGCACCACAGCAGCTTCTGCTGCTGCCACGCATGCTGCTGCAGAATAGCTTACATCTGCTGCTCCTATCACTGCGGTGAGGTACGTGGTGTCCGTCCAGCACATCGCCACCCCGTCATCGCTGTAGGCTTGAGGCAACAGCACTTGCCCTGTTATTGGACCCTCATCGTGCTGGTGATGCTGAAGCCCGAAAGGGGCGGCGGCAGACGGTGGTGGGAAGTAAAAAAGCGAAAGTCGTCCCAGTAAAGTTCCGGCAGCAATACCAACCCTTCTGTCAACATTCAAGCAAACAAAGGGGTCGCCTAGCAAACAAGGCAGTAGTAGCTGCTGCTGGCAGCCTCTCCTGCTGCTGGTGCTCGCTGCAGCAGAGAAGACTCTGTTGAAGAACCGGGTGAGCCGTGTCTCCTCCCGCTGCCCCGTTGAAGGGGCTGCAGGGCAAAGATGCTCCGTGCCCATTCTGGGGCCTGCTGCGGTATTTCCAACGGCTGCGGAAGTACGGGAGTGGGGGCTATTTGTGCTACTGCCTCTGTTGCAAAACGTGGAGCTCATTTGGCTGGGGGCGCTGCTACAATTGCTTCTCCTACTGCTGCAGCTGATGCTGCTTCTTCTCCTACGGCTCCCACCGCTGATGCTGCTTAAGCTGCCGCTGCTGCTGGTGGCAGGGATCGCAGGAGCCACAGGCAAGGCTGCAGTGGCGTCGTCGCATTCAGGCTTCCGTATAGCAGCGGAAGAAGAGTGAGGTAACAGTATTTCCGCCTTGATGCCTAAAGAAAGTGAGTTTGAAGATTCTCTAGACGGCTCGTTCGGGGCTTTCGCCGCAGCTGAGGGCAATACCCCTCCATGGCTAAACAAGAGCATCCCCAGTTACCCCCAACACCACAGCTGCTGGCTGCAGTTGTTGCCTCTGCTGCTGATGATGGAGTTTCGGTTCCGTCGGTAGACCTCTCTGCTAATGCTCCTGGTCCTGAGGTTGTCACTGTTGCTGCTTCTGCTGTCGTAGGCTGTGTCTGCGCCTGCCCGTCCCAGGTGATGCCGGCCTTCATTAAGCAGCCGCCAAGGGCCACAAGCTGCAGGGCGGTTCGGTACAAATGCGAGTACCTTTGAAATATAAGGCCTGCAAACATAAATGGCCGTTTTTAATTTTCAAGCGAGGTAGTAGGGAGTGGATTGTGGCGAAATGCGCACCAACACGGATCACCGGGCATGCATTTGCAAAATGAATGCGCATGCGCAGCTTGATGCACAAAGATAATTAGTGTCATTTCTCGGACGCAGTTTTGCTCATTTCGCCGGCATTTCCTGAATGACATAGGGGAAAATATCCGGCGAATCTCCAGTTATGATCGAAACCGTCGTCGGCGCCCTCTCGCTGAGAGGCAAACGGTTTCCATGGTCCTCGTCTGCTTATTTATGCCCCATTGTCATTAAAATTAAGGTACTGTTAGGCATGAATGAATTAAAAAGCATCTTTGACAATATGGTTTCGTGTAGCGGAGCGTCTGGGAGGTGTGTCTTGGCTCCTGGGTTGAGGTGGGCGACACAACGAAAACGAGGCCTCTGGGGCTTTCAAGGGCCTCCGTGTCTCCTGTCGGGGGGTGAAATAATTCTTTATTCTAATTTCACAGCATTCGTAGAGGGCTTCGTATTTTTATCCCGTAGAAGCCGGGCAAAATCCCCACCAGCCATCGCAAGTTTTTGAGCATAGCCTCCACTGCGCTCCCTAGAACTTATCCGATGACTATTTTGAGCTACAGGCAAGCTAAAATAGTTAAAAATAATGCTGAATAAAAGGAATTGACCTCCGTCCCCCGCCTTCAGGTGTCCTGACCTCAGCGGTTCGAACGGCTAGAGCTCCGGGAAGGGGGTGGCTTGCGTTTAGTTGCAACGCACCGTGTTGCAACTCACGGTGCAGGGCAACCTCACATACTAGCGCAGACGGGCGTTTAGGATGTGTTGCACAACTACTGTAGACTGTTGTTGAGAACTGCTAGTTGCGTACCGTTTGTCTACTGGGGCGTCGTATGGGGTTCCGACGTCCATGTGTGCCACTCTTGGCGCTGGAAATGGCTGTATTGACTCGTATTCCACTCCTATTGCTGCAGCAGAACCAACGGGGGGCCTTCGTCTGCTTGGGCTCCTCCGCCTACTTCGTGACCGTACAGCACCTCCACTAGCTAGACAACAAGATGCTCGCCGAAGCCGCTGAAGATATTTCATAGCGTTGGATGCTCTTAGTAGCACTTATGGACCTCAGAAAAAAGTTGAACGTGGCGGAAAACCATGAAGCGCCAAGGCATGATTAAGGAATAGCTGGGCTAGTCCCTCTGCTGTGAGCGAATACTGGATGCAGGGGGAGTGCTTAAGCCAGCCCATCACAACGTAGGTTATATGCTCCCCCGCTAATGGTAAACCCACTAAACAATTGGTTGGATATGAGCCGAGCGTGTAGACTAGCGTTAGCAAGTTCTGTCCATTAATACGAAATCGAACAACTGGAGGAGGAATGAACGGACGTCGCAGCGGGTACGGGAGAATTTTTATATTCCGGAAGTGGCACAGTCATCGTCGGCGTCCATCCTCTTGCAGTAACCAAAATGCCAGTTGTATGCATAGTTCTTGCTGCGTTTTTCTGAAGGCGGAAATATAGGCAAAGGGAAGCCAGAAACTTCTCCCCTGCCCTCGCACGGTGGATACCGTATTTGGATCACCAGGTAACCAGGTAAGGAGGCATTAGATGGGCCGGAGTCATCAATAGGGTTTTGTTGTAAGGATGTTTTTGCCAGATGGGATGCAGATATCGATCGCTATTCATCCAAGCGGGGCGTCCAAGTTTTGGCCGTTTCCCCCCCTTGATAGTAGGCCATATAGATAGATAGGTTGACCAGGGTCAATCTCCATTTTCAAAGTAAAATCCAGAGAATTGACAGCAATTTTTGCAGAGCTTGAAAAGGACATTTTGTGTGTATTTACACTTCACGCAACGTCAATACTACTCACTGCTACTCAGCAGGCAACCTTGCAGTTGGTATGAGGTCCGTCGTTTGTGCCTGCACTGTGGGGGGCCGTACTTTGCTACCAAGTGTAATGAGGGTCCTGGATTTTATTATTAATATTTTGAGCTGCAATCAAGCCAAAATACTGAAGATTTCAACTCTGTGAAAGCAGCGGGCCTCCTTTCCCAAACTGCAGGTGGTGTGAAGTCAGCTGTTCAAGCGGCTAGAGCTTCGGGAAGGGGGTGGTCTGCGTTTAGTTGCAACACGCATTGCTGCAGGTGAAGGCGCAGGGCAGCCTCACATGCGAGCGCAGGCAGGCGTTTTGGATGTGTTGTACATACAGTGTGGCCGGTTGTCGAAAACTTTTGTTTGCGTGCCGCTTGTTACTGGTGCCACGCCATGCTTAATAGGACCAATTCACACAGACCGAATTGCCAACACCGGGAATATTATGGTACGCTCGCAATAGCAGTTAAGGCAAGATATACAGGAGCCCAAGACAGGTAATATCTCTTCACCGCCATGAGGCTGGATTGTGGAGAACGGGTGCTTTTGGCCTTTGCATCGGCATTTCACCACAATCCCATGCACTACATGGCTTGAGAGGGCAGGCGGTGATGCCACGCAATGCGTGGAGGTTAAACTATACAAATTGGAGCTAGCTAAGAGCATACATAAGACTCAGGCTTGTCCGTTGCCACTTCAGTGGCCTGTTCACATCGTTGATATTGAGAAACCGAAGGCCACAATTCACTATCCGGGAATCGTCTGTAGAAGAGAGCAGCCAATATTTGCCGGAAATCTACGACTGCCTACCTTATACGAATGCAATATTGTCGTTGAATTTCCTGTTGAGGCAAAGGCAGTACATTCTCACAGGCGGCCGTCGGCGGATGACCTCCTGGTTGCTGATCCAACATTGTTGGAGGTGTGGCTGGACAAGTGATTCTGCTGTCGCAGAAAACGAGAAACGGGAAGAAAAATGTCTAGCGAGGCAAGAACGAATTCGCCGAAATAATATACGCTAAGCTATATTGTCTTTTCTGGTTTGGAAGCACTTATTCATTAGGGGATACGGCGATGCTCTGTGCACTACTAACTGCAGGAAGCCGTCGCAAAAAACCCGGGCAACTAAACTTCGATACGAAAATAAAACACGAAAAAGGATCTAGACTGTGAAAAACTCTAGGTTATTTGCTTTTGGGGCAATGGATCGGACGGTCAAAGTCAGAGGTCACTCCGCTCTGTTCACGACTGCGTGTTGGGGGGCTCAATCTAGGGGCCTAGACCTGCGAATTCATCCTATTTATTTGCACCCCTAAATATAATGTATTTTAAGTTTCGACAAAATGGGGGAAGACTCATGAAAATCTCTAATAAAAACCGAACACACCCATTTCACTGCACACACAGTTGCGTGGCCACCGGTCTGTGGGGGTCAGCATAAACGCGCGCGTTGCTATATATGTTCTCAGTGTCCTCTAAACTTGATTTTTCAATCAAGTCATGGGGTTTACTGAAGTTTAGATTTTGCTCCGTTGCTCTCTTTGTTCTTTTCCGTCCCCGGCCTCCTGTTTACGTGTGCTGTGAAGCGGTACCTATTGAACGGCTTGTAGGTACGGATCCTTAGAGGCCTCCTAATGTGAACGTGTAGCTTCAAAAGGGCGTTTGTGATGTGATACGCCTGCTCAGAGCCTGCAGATCTGCAGATATACTGCAAGATGGCGCGACAGAACCGGCGTATGGACTCCGCTCGTCTGTTGCACCCAACAGCAACATCACATGGCAGACCTCTACGGGGGATCGACGGCACTTACTTGCCTGAACAGGGGAACCCAAAAGTTGAGAACAACCGCAGGAAGTCATTCAGGAGTGGCACTGGAAGCTTCAGCGACCCAGCAGACCACTACGCCCAAGTGGACTGGACGCCCTGGGATTGCTGCAGATGTGCAGCAGAAACACGCGACGCTATGTTAGAAAAGGTCGCAGATGCATTTGGACGATATGCACTTTTCGTTTACCGGCATCCTATCAAGGTACAAAACGTTGCTTTTTGAGGGTTTGTTCTGTGGCTGAGGGCCACAGGGATTAGGTCTAGGAGCTGAGGAGCAGGGATGGTGTGCTGATGTTTGGCGCCTGCGTCTCAGTTCATTGTGTTCAGCGCATTGCTGTGTTTGATTCTCTCCGTCGGTTTAGCATTCAAGACGAGTACTACAGACGGAGTGGTGCAGTACACCATCCCCCACAGCCAGGCCCAGCAGGCACGTTGCTGGATGACCCCCTTCCCTTTGCAATCCCCAAAAGGCACTCATTATGGTGCATGTTGCTTGCACCTGCTTGATATGGGGAGTTGAACTCCTTTAGCTGGATTCTCTAGCCCTCTGCGGGCCTCCTTATCTCCCAGTTCATTCGCCCACTGGCTCTCTTGTCTGTTGAAATTGCGGTTTCCCTTTTTCCCTTTGTTTTTTTTGTCTTGCATCGGCAGCTCAACCCTGATGCCCACCGTTTACAGGTGGACGCATGTGTGTATCTATATATATGTTGGTTATTCCTGTGTATGAAGGCATTTCGTGTGCTTCCAGGATGCGGATGACTATCGCATGCTATTTCAAGGCAACGTTACCCGCAGCGAGGTGATCCTGATAGCAGCGAATGACGAAATGAGCAACTTGCTTGATGCATCCTTTTTAAATGCAGTTTGGGATATGCACATGAAAATACTGGACATCAGGGTGACAGCAGAAGAGGAAGGCGACGCACTCGCCGACGCAGCAGTTGCAATAGCAGAAACCGGCGATACATTGGAGCTCCCCAGCCGCCGGCTGCAGTACACTGAATCTTTTGATAACAGGCATAGGGTAACATACCCACAACGCAGCGAGAGCAAAGCAACTGATGCAAAACAACTTCAGATGCTGACGCCCAGGAAGCTCGCATGGGGTGATCCAGCATCAATTGTGCAACAACACTTTGTGGAGCAACAGCTCAGGCAGCAGCTTCAGCAGCAGAATCAGCAGCCACAGTGGATACATACAGGAGGGGGGGGCCGAAGGCGTCGCGAAGCGCAGGATGCAGCTGCTGCTCAGCACCAGCAGCAGCAGGAAGTGTTTCCGTCCTTGCAGGCGCAGGAGTCCGAGGGTGTTTGCGATCCTGAACGGGAGTTGCCGAGAGTGCGGATAACAGGCTTAGCCTGCCGACCTCCTTTAGCAGCGGGGGAGTACGGATTTCAAAATTTGTGTTTCAAAGACTCCACTGGAGCCTGTGAAGCGCCCGACGGCATAATCTTCGTCTACGGACACAAAAGGTGGGCCGTAGACATCAGAAGGAAACCACACCTTAACTTTGCCTTTTCAGAGTAAGCTCGTTAGGCAGTAACTGCATGTAAGAGTAACAGACACCAATGAACGACGATGTAACAATTTCTAATGGGACAAGCATGGTTATTTATAGCAATCAACGGTTACCCGAACACTGAGACCGACACTGCTGGTAACCATCATACACTGAGTCAGTGCGAACCAATACCTTAAGATCAAGAACCATCGAGAGGTTGGGCTAGCATTTACATCGAGGAACAATGGTGAGCAAGTGGTAATGAGGAACTTTAAGTTAAATGGGTTGCTGCTCGCTCTTCTTGATTGCTTCTTACTATATTTGACCATATCTCCTCTGTGCCGTCCGTCCATGCTTCGCGTCACTTTGACCACAACGCAATCCCACGCTTCGTTTTCCTTCTTCTGTATGAGAATAAGTTTCGCTTTTCAGCCAGCCATCGAAATCATCACTTGGTAGACTCTCCGTGTTGATTCGCGCCGCTGCACTGCCACTTTGACTGCGGCTTGCCCTTGATCAACCCCCTGAGCTAGCAAGTAGAGTTTTAACATGTGCGTACTACTAATGTGCCTCACTGTTGTGAGTAGGGAGTTCGGGAGTATGGTGGAATATCCCCTTCACACCTCCTTTCTGCTGGCTCGAGGCTTCCCTACAGATATGCTTCTGTCCACCAAAGGTCTTCGCCTGACGCCTTCAGGCCGATATGCCACCGCCACGGCAGCCATTTCCCTTAGGCAAGTGTTCCCACAGTCTATGTTATAAACCCTCAACCTTATCTATTGAGTGCCGAGGTGTTTGGCAGCCGTTGCAGCCACCTGGTAGACGGCCTGAAGCATCACATGGACACTCCCTCGTAGTGTGGCATCTTCCTCTTGCAGTCAAACGTGCTGTTTATTTTGCCCGCCAATTGTAGTATCTCCTCCACAAACCTGAACTGCAACAGTAGGTGAAGCTAAGCATTTCAGTTGGGAAATCTTTATGGCGCTTACATCCTAGTAATACCTGCACTCTTTTAGAACTTTGCATAGCAGGGTCACATCTCTACAGTGCTTCAATGGATAGCAATTGCATGCTTTGAAATATTCTGAGGCTTTTACAGTAGCAGGCGAACACTGCGCAGCCAGTGATGATTCAAGCCCCAACACTCACTAGCACCAGTGGCTGTGCGTCGCTTTATTGTATATTCCAATGCTGCCTTCTAACTTGGGTGACCAGCGAATTGCGCATCTAAGAACTGAAGTTGTCTCTGGAACGATTCATTGAATACGGTGCTGAATGGGTGTAGGCGCCTAACACTGCAAAGCTGAATTATAGTGCTGTGCGGTGCATTGTGCTAGACTCCAAGTTTACGACTGTGAGACGTTCAAAGCGCTGTTCCTCTTTTCGACGAGTATGGGAGGATTTGGTCAGCCAGTGCCACGAAAATAGTAGTGCTTCATAGCTATGGGTGTGCAGCTGTCTAGATTGGGGCAGAACACACGGAAGTCCCTTCACATGTTTACTCCTGGTGTGCTGGAGTTAAATCCAATATAGTAGAGACTACCGCGGCGCCTACGGCTGTGAAATGCTATGTTGCGTTTGGTCGGTATGGCTTTACTGCAGCTTGCTAAGAGTTGAATGCTTATTGAAATTGGCTAGCGTCGGCTGTTCACGGTTCGTATTGATTGCCATTAGCAACTCTTCATTACGGATGTGGTATTCAGGTACCAAATAACGGACGACGCGAAGCTGCGGCCATTTGCCCTGCGATGGGAACGGAAGCTGCAGCAGCTGCTTCAGACTGAGAGGCTCCCAGGGGCCAAGATGGGGCTAAAGACAGAAAGGAGCCTCTGTACGTCTCACCAGCTATGCGTGAACTTCAAATCCAATTTGCTAATACCTCAGTGCCCACAATCAAGCTGTGAAAGGCACTGCTTGTAGATAACGCCTCCGGCTCAGCTATCGGAAATTAGTTTCTGCATGACTGTGGTTGGGCGCGTGCATCGCATTCCCGCCTCTATGGTTTAGTGTTGAGGCCAGGCCTCCAAATGTTTGCGATGTGCTGCAGCGGACGAATTGGCTGCGAGTTCTTCCGCGGGCCCGGGGGGAGAAGTGGTGTTGATAGCTGCGGCAGGTTCACTAATTGGAGTGTATGTGTGGGTAGTGAATTTTTCCCGTTCGCATTTGCGTTCGAAGGCCATTGTGGCCTTGACAGGAGCAGGCGCTGCCCTGCTGGGCTACCTTGGTGGGGCTGGTGTGTGCTTTATGGCCGGCGTTATTAGCACAGGAACGGCTGCTGCGGCTCCGCTGCTGGTTGTAGGAATTGGAGTGGATGACACGCTTGTGCTTCTGCAGTCATACAGTCTGACAGTCCACAAGCGCTCTGCAGCGGACCGCCTGCAGCTGACACTGCGAGACAGCGGCGTGGGTATCACAATAACGACCTTAACGAACCTTATGACATTTGGCATCGGAGCCTTCAGTCCCTACCTCGCAATCAAGAGCTTCTGTCTATTGTGCCTCTCCGGCCTGTTCTTGGGCTACATCATGTGCCTCACCTTCTTTCTCGGCTTCCTCGCCCTCGACGCCAAGGCAGAAGCAGCTGGGCAGGTCATGGCTATCTTTCGGTGTTGCCCAATGAAGATCATGAGGGATTCCTCACCTACAAAGACGCAGACACACCAGAATCTCCAGCAGCAGCAGCAGCAAAAAAGACAGATGCGCACACTCAAAGGCCTGCCCATGCTCCAGTATGTTGATAAGACTCGCCTCCCTGGGGCCGACGCCTCGGCACTCTCCGCCTGCGCCAGCGATATATTTCAGTGTATCACTATGCAGGTGGAGGCTGCTTTGCAGCAACAGCAGCAGCAGCGGCTGATCGAAGCGGAGACGCGTCGCATCCGAAAGCGACAGGCCCCCAAGAAAAAGGAGCAACAGGAAAAGGGCCCGGCGAGGCGTAAAAAAGACGCAAAGACATCAGTCACTAGTACATCCTCGGGAACAGAGGGAAAAAAGCAGGACAACGTATCCAGTGACTCGGAAGACCGTAAGAAGAAGACAAGACAACGCAAACAGCCGGAGAGAAAAACGAACGCCAGAAAGAAGAAACGGGTGGAAGCCAGAAACAGTAACAAGCAAGACAACACCCCGAGCACCAAACAAAGCATAAAAAGTGGGAGCATCAGAAGCACCCGCAGCAGCGCCAAAAAGCGGCAACAACAACAACGACAACGGCGAGCGAAGGCTCTCAGGCCAGCGCTTAAAGGGCGCCGTCAGCAGCAGCAGCAGCAGCAACAGGAGCCTCAGGAAGGCGAAGCTGGTGGCCCTGAGGTAGGTTCCACTGCTGACGTAGAGGCAAACAGCAAACTAGCAGCTGGGGTAGCAGCAGCAGGTGCAATTGCCTCAGATGCGAGCCTGAACAGAGGTCAATTAAGAACAGGAGGTGTTCCGGTGAGGGTGACAAGGCCTCGAAGGACGACAGTACATTTTTACAGGAAGACCTCAACTGCGCCATTGGCATCGAGTCTTCTGCAGCTCCAGCAGAAACGGCAACAGTTCCAGCAAGAAAGCGAGTGGCGAGACCAGGTGGTGGTGAACCTGTGCGTGGGTTCTGGCTCGGCAGTTGTAGCGGCAGCAGCAGAAGCAGCCGAGGCGGCCTTTAATACAACTGGCCGCAGCTGGTCAGGGGAGCGGATTGCTCGGCTGCAGCTGCTACAGCGGCTTGGGGGCGACGGCTTAGCTGAGCCTCAGGGTAACGTAGGGAGGGGCCTGAGGAAAGTGCTTGTTCGCTTTGGCGCCCGCCTCCTTATGAACCCCTTCTTCAAGCTCATGCTCCTAATCATCTTTACTTCTGTTGCTGTAACTGCAATTATCGGATGCTTCAAAATACAAACTGGATTAGATCCAAGGAGCCTCACTAAAGACGGGACGATGCTGAAGGTGGCACACACATACATACACAAATACATGCATACACATATATCTATACATATACATAAACATATACATATACATATACATATACATATACATATACATATACATATACATATACATAA